GCTGTGTTTCCTACCAGAGACTGGGCACGGTTCTGAGGGAAGGACTTAAAGTTCCTCTTTTTCCATTAAATTATGATTGGCTTCCCTTTCCAGCCCGGGTGTGTCAAAGGAACCACTTCTAAAATGGCACGTTACCCAAATCATTCTCCATCAGCAGTGTGGCAGGGAGGAAGGGGGGTGACTTACACGCTAAAGATTTAGCTACTGTAATCACAAACCCAGAAGTGTACAGTTATAGCTAGATTGTGTGTAAAATAACCACCCTATTTGCACCACTGAGAGCAGACCCACGGTGCAATGTGCTCTCACAAACCAACCCACTGCTACTGAAGATATCTGGGGATACCACTTGCTTCATTAATGCTGTTTGCCTAGCATTGCTTTCACTGAACAGTTTACTCTTGTGCTGTCTAACCCTGTTTCTTTCTTGCTGCACATGCAAGTGTTAAAATCTTAGTCTGAACACTGAAGTGTAAATACATTAATGTTCACAGTTCTGCTGTGAGGTGGCAGAGTATTAATACCCTGCCTCCAAAACCAGGGTCTGGTAAAAGCAGACTTTGGTTCAAAAGCATTTGCTGATTTCAAATACTCAGTGCTGTGGTGCCTCAGACTTCTGGGGTTTGGGGTTTTTGCTTTGAAGTTCAGTTTGTGTTCAGGCTTTTGATCATGCTCGTTCCAGTAGCTGGCTTTGGAGTACCCATTGTAGAGAATTCTGTCTTGACATTCTCCCTGTGGGCAGGATGCCATCTGCACTGCAACCTTCAGATTGTTAGTTTTCAAAATATTTCATATAAAAATGCACACTGGGCCCTATTGCAGTAATAGGGTTCAAACTGAAACAGGGGAAGTTCAGGTTAGATCTAAGGAAGAAGTTCTTCACTGTGAGGGTGGTGAGGCACTGGCACGGGTTGCCCAAAGAAGTGGTGAATGCTCCAGTGTTCAAGGCCAGGTTGGACAGAGCCTTGGGTGACATGGTCTGGGGTGGGGAGTCCCTGTCGATGGCAGGGGGGTTGGACCTGGATGATCTTAAGGTCGTTTCCAACCCAAACTATTCTATGATTCTGTGGTATCTGCCATTGGGAAAAGTCCCACAGCTTTTTACCTGTAGTTTTGTATTGCAATGATGGTAGTTTCCAACATCATAACTTTTTTCCCTATCATCTTATTGGCTAATATTTAACTGAATGAATGTGATTATTTTACAACTTACCTATCTGTTTAAACTTTTATGCTGACTTAGAGACTTGAATTTATCTTGGCTGATTTATTCCTGGCATTAAATACAATACATTTAATCTAAAAGTCAAAGTCTGTGAGATCAAAGACACAGAATCTTGAAATCCAACCCAGAAGGATCATAAATTGTAATTCTCTTTCTTGACCTATGTACTATACCTCAGTGTAAAACAAACAACCGAGAAGTCTCTCCTGGGTTGTTGGACATACTCTTCCATGTACAAACGTGCACATTGTTGGAATTGATTTATATAAAACTATCACAACTGTAATGAAACTGAAGCAGTAGGGGAGCTGCTTAAAAGGCAGGCTTTGTATATGCAAAACCTGTGTTTGTGTTTTATAGAGACAAAATGATCAGTTAACTTTAAGCTACATTAGCCAGATGTCCTGGTTCCTGTCAGAAAACAACAAGTTTGCTGTTTGTAACCAGTTGGTTGTTTAAATTCTTCCCTAAGTTGTTACTACTGGCATTTCCATTAAAAGTTCACTTCTCTAAAGGCAGTGACTAGTAAACTAGTTGTAAATAACAAATGTTCTTACAGATAATCACAGTGATGTTCTTCCTTACCGCAAATACTTTTTAATCTTGTCCTCACAAGTATTTTTGCACTCTGTTTATACAAAGGCCCATCCCCACTTACTCTCCTTTTAAAACCCAAACTCTCTGTAGATTTCCTTGAAGGAATAAACAGATGTGTTAAAACCCGTAACAGGAGCCCACGCATTTTTCCTGTGCTAGCTGGAACCATGTGGCTTTGACCTTTGTAATGTTGAACTTCCTTTTATTGCAGGATGGATCTAAATATCGAAACTTCCATTAAGTCAAGCAAATAAATCAAGCGTGTCAGCAGCAGAAAGAAGCATTGTCTCAGGGGTCCTCGGGGGAGGAGAGGAGGAGCAGTAGATACAAACTTATATCTGCATATCTGGAAAATTACACCACCAGCTTTTAGAATCAGAACTAATTTCCTGCCAGATGTGTGTATCATTTTGCACATTTCTAGGCTTTGACGTGCATGTTCTCTGTGGTGCTCCACATTAACTGTGTTCTCACTCTGATGGTGACCTTTCTGGGACTGGTTAGGACGAGGAGGGACTTGTTGAGTCTACAGGTCTTTTACCTTTCTGTACAGTGACTGAACTCCACAACTAGCCTTTACAACTTTGCTGCCCTCTTTCAACCCTGTGGGAAGGCTGAGTTAGTTCATAGAGTCATAGAATCATAGAATCGTTAGGGTTGGAAAGGACCTTAAGATCATCCAGTTCCACCCCCCCTGCTGTGGGCAGGGACACCTTAACGCTAAATCATATCACCCAAGGCCTCGTCCAACCTGGCCTTGAACACTGCCAGGGATGGAACATTCACAGCCTCCCTGGGCAACCCATTCCAGTGCCTCACCACCCTAACAGGAAAGAATTTCCTTCTTATATCCAATTTAAACTTCCCCTGTTTAAGTTTTAACCTGTTACCCCTTGTCCTGTCACTACAGTCTCCAGTGAAGAGTCCCTCCCCAGCATCCCTATAGGCCCCCTTCAGATACTGGAAGGCTGCTCTGAGGTCTCCACGCAGCCTTCTCTTCTCCAGGCTGAACAGCCCCAACTTTCTCAGCCTGTCTTCATACGGGAGGTGCTCCAGTCCCCTGATCATCCTCGTGGCCTCCTCTGGACTTGTTCCAACAGTTCCATGTCCTTTTTATGTTGAGGACACCAGAACTGCACACAATACTCCAGGTGAGGTCTCACAAGAGCAGAATAGAGGGGCAGGATCACCTCCTTCGACCTGCTGGTCATGCTCCTTTTGATGCAGCCCAGGATACGGTTGGCTTTCTGGGCTGTGAGCACACTGCAGCCGGCTCATGTTCATTTTCTCATCAACCAACACCCCCAAATCCTTCTCCACAGGGCTGCTCTGAATCTCTTCTCTGCCCAACCTGTAGCTGCGCCTGGGATTGCTCTGACCCAGGTGTAGGCCCTTGCACTTGGCATGGTTAAACTTCATGAGGTTGGCATCAGCCCACCTCACAAGCGTGTCAAGGTCCCTCTGGATGGCATTCCTTCCCTCCAGCGTATCAACCGAACCACACAGCTTGGTGTCATCAGCAAACTTGCTGAGGGCGCGCTCAATCCCACTGTCCATGGCAGCGACGAAGATGTTGAACAAGACCGGTCCCAGCACCGATCCCTGAGGGACACCACTCGTTACCGGTCTCCAGCCGGACATTGAGTCATTGACCACAACTCTTTGTGTGCAGCCATCCAGCCAGTTCTTTATCCACCGAGTGGTCCATCCATCAAATTGATGTCTCTCCAATTTAGAGACAAGGATGTCGTGTGGGACAGTGTCGAACGCTTTACACAAGTCCAGGTAGATCACATCAGCTGCTCTACCCCTGTCCATCAGTTCTGTAGCCCCATCACTGAAGGCCACTAAATTGGTCAGGCAGGATTTCCCCTTAGTGAAGCCATGCTGGCTGTCACCAAGCACCTTGTTGTTTTTCATGTGCCTTAGCATGCCTTCCAGGAGAATCTGCTCCAAAATTTTGCCAGGCACGGAGGTGAGGGTTGGAAGTGACCTTAAAGCTCATCCATTTCCAGCCCCCTGCCATGGGCAAGGACACCTTTTCCACTAGACCAGGTTGCTCCAAGCCCCATCCAACCTGGCCTTGAACACTGCCAGGGATGGGGTGGCCACAGCTTCTCTGGGGATCCTGTGCCAGCACCTCAGCACCCTCACAGGGAAGAACTTCTGCCTAATCTAAATCTACCCTCTTTCAGTTTAAAGCCATTCCCCCTTGTCCTGTCACTACATTCCCTTGTAAAAAGTCCCCTCTCCAGGCAGGAATAGGGTTGCTGTTATGCTTTTAGTGTGCAGGCAGCTCATACCCAATCTGTGCACCTTGTTGCCCTTTTTTTGCTCTGATGCCAGCAGTACTGATCGGCTCCAGTTCCTCTCTAGCATTCCTCTTTATTGTGTATTTATATGGAAGAATATTTCCACTCAGCCTTCACCTGGATAAGCTAAACAAGCCACGCTCCTCCAGACCCCTCTCTCCCACCGCAGGCTTTGTTTCCCATGTTGTCCTCACCCTTCCCTGCAGTGTTTAACCTTCCTGGAACACCAGTGACCAGAAATGTGGATTCTGTCACAGGTGAGCTGTGATCACTGCCAAAGCTTCCTGGTCTCCTCTGAAAGTACCTGATGCCTTACACAGGCCAAACAGGCATGTTACATCTGGGACTTGCATCCTGAGTAATTCCCAGCTGGTGAAGTTTCAGGTTGTGGCATAGATGTTTTATTAATCCTGAACTATATGATCTTTTCTTTGGGTCCTTCACTTTGTTTTAGAGTGTTTTGAGAACTCATGAAGTGCTCTGAACGTGATAGCTTCTGTTTTCATAACTTACTACTATGCTTGGGGGAAAGGAAGCTCATTTGTTAAATGTCTTGGACTTAAAAGACCATTGTGCTGCTAATGAATCGCTTGTACTATGTTCCAGTAACCATGCACCATGTATACAAGTAACTTACATGCTGTGTTTAAAGAGCAGAATAAGTTTTACTAATCTCTCTCAGATTTCCTGTGAAGCGTATTAATTGAAGATATAGGCTGATACTTTAAACAAAATCTCCTGGTTTTAAAGGTGCAGAGCAAAGAGCAGATACGTACCTTGAAGGAAAAGACCAACTGGGAGGTTGGTTTCAGTCCTCTCTGTTAACAAGTGTGGCAGCAAGGAATAAAGCACCATATAAGTAAGTGTGGATTGCAAACACATTGCTAATTCATTTATTAAATGTCAGGCTTCTGATAGTGTGAACAGAATCGTGTAACAGAGAGAGAAAGCCTTTAGTAAGTATCTGACTTACGTTGTAACGCCTTCAGTATAAAGTTTTCCTCAGATTAGATTGTAATGGATTTATGGTTTGAATTGTTTCAATCCTCATAGCTGTTTTCTTCCTCAGTCATTTAGGTGTATCCTTTTACCTTGCCAGACACAGGCCTGTTCTTCTGCCATCTCTTCCATTCCCATAATCAAAGGGATTGGTATGGGAGGTGCAGGGTGGAAATCTAGGATCATTAACTTGTGAATTGAACATTAGGCTGTAAGGAATTCAGAATCAGTCTGTGTGTGTCTTAGACTGGAGCTCTGTTTTGCCCCTGGCAGATGAAAACCACAGGGGAGGCTAATGTGGGTCAGTTGCAAGGAAGCTGTGCAAATTTGGGAAATACATTGGCTTGAAGAGAGTAATACTTTTAGTCTTTAATTCATCTGAACTACATGTGCCCAAATACCTGAAACAATCTGTTGCTCCCATGGCAAAATTAAATGAGGAAAATCAAGTTGTATCACTGCTTGGAGGGTAGTACAGTGTATTCATGGTTGGTTGAAATAAACAGATGAAGCCTCAGGCTTAGTGAAATAGAGGATTTCTGCATGTTTTGATGTGGGAATATCCTTAGAAACCTGTTCTTAACAAAGATTTTTCACTGGGATATTGTCTTCACTAAAATCTTTTCTTCAGGACTCTGGTAGTTCATGGATTTACTCTTGGTGAGAAGGGGGAGAAGATGTCTAAATCTGTTGGCAACGTGGTTGACCCTGACATAGTTATCAATGGAGGCGAAGTAAGTCAAACTCTTGAGTTTGTAAGAATTGCTAGTTGCAACTTTTCACTACCAGACCCTGCAGCAGTCTTGTGGTATGTTTTTCTCTGAACAGTTGCGTTTTGTAAGGCTCTTCTGAAGACCCCACACCTTTGTTCTGTGCTAAGAGAAAAGGAAGTGCATTATACAGGAGGTGTAGAATGGTTCCTTTTCACTTGGGAGTGATTCGATGGAGTGATTTGGGGCAGGGTTTAAACACACTTAACATAATTAACCTTTGCTTTCAAACTGTCTAAAACCTACAAGATGAGCTGAGCAGTCAGAGCAGTGGTTGTACCCAGCAATCTGCTCCCAGCTTAGGCTGTGGATTGACTCTGGAAACTGACTTCATTCTGTGTACAAGGAGGTTGCAGTGCAGGTGATGCTCTGATGCTCTACACAGTCCTGCTGTTGCTCTTTCAGAGGCTGCCAAGTAGATTTTTGCAGCTCTAGATAATGCATCCTTACAAAGACTTTATCTAATTCAATAAAACACACAATAGCTTCTATGTTTTTTCAAAAAAAAAGAAGACATTTTTGGGGTTGAAAAGAGGGTGGAAAACAGTCTGAAGAGGGGGTGGGAGAATGTAATTTTAGATACTAACATTAAAAAGCAATGTTAAGCATTCAGAGGGTTCAGGCTGTAAGATGAGTTCATCTTAGCTTACCCAAGTTCTGGCATTCCCTGTCTGCAGACTGCTGCAGGTATCTATTGTACTGGATAATATAAATGGTATATATGCTTGCTAAAAGAGGGGGAAGACCTGCAAATACAGTGGCCACCTGCATGCTTATAGATACCTTCACAGCAGTGGCAGTGTGGCACTGCACTGCTCGCCACGCTGCAGGGCCCCCACCACTTTAACTTGGTGCCTTTCTGTCTGTACTTAGGATCACACCAAGGATCCCCCATATGGTGCTGATGTTCTCCGCTGGTGGGTGGCAGAATCCAATGTTTTCACTGAGGTGCTGATTGGGCCTGTTGTACTTAATGCTGCAAGAGATGATGTCAACAAGGTAAGAAAGACCCATATATGCTCTTCATTCTAGTGCCAGGTCCTCTGTATCTGATTTTACGTTGACTGAGTAGAATTCATGGCAAACCTATTTAATCTTTAGCCTAAAGAAAGCTTTTCGAACTCAGGTAGGGAGGTATTACTGCTTTTTACATCTGTGAATCAAATAGTAAAGGGTCCTAAGGAAAACACTAGGGTTTGCAGTGTTCTTCAGTAATAGCCAGTCTTGTCTTTACTTCTGTATAGGTCCTTTTGGCATCATAGAATCATAGAGTGGTCTAGATTGGAAAGGATCTTAAGATCACTCAGTTCCAACCCCCTGCCATGGGCAGGAATGCCTCACACTAGACTGTGTCACCCAAGGCCCCTTCCAGCCTGGCCTTAAACACTGCCAGGGATGGAGCATTTACCACTTCTTTGGGAAACCTGTGCCAGTGACTCACTACCCTCATAGTAAAGAACTTCTTCCTTATATCTAACCTGAGGTTTAAACCCATTACCCCTTGTCCTATCGCTACAGTCCCTGATGAAGAGATGCTGTTGTAACTCTTCAGTCACTTTGGAAACCAGTCAACTTCAGTTAATTCATTCTAGGATATTATAATTTGTTTCATCTAAAGTGCACATCATTAATGTTTCATTTTCCTGGTTTCCTCCTAGCTTCGGAACACAATACGCTTCATGCTGGGGAACCTGGCTGGCTTCAACCCAGAAACAGATTCCATCCCTGCTCGAGAGATGTACATAGTGGATCAATACATGCTGCATTTACTGCAAGATTATGGCAGCAAGGTAGGGGTAAACTGTATTGAGATGAATGTATGTGTAATGTTTATCATCAGTTATACCCTCTAGGCTCTTTAGGTACAGAGTACATGCCAAGTTGGCAAATTCTGACCACGGCACTTTCTTTGATGCAGTGTGAGCTCCCTTAAGCCTATTTCAGATTTTAAGAAGAAAGCTTTGTTTTTAACATTCTTAACTTGCTTTTGACATTGGCTGGTTTTCCCACTCCCTCTTGGTCAAGGCCTCAAATTACAAGTCTTCTTTAGAAATAGTTAGAATGGAATATAAAAAAACAAACCCAAAAAATTCTAGAGCTTTGGAAAGCTGCTGTAGTCCAAAATTTAGTAATTTCTGTCACTCAGAACTGTTCTGAATAAGAAAGATAATATCTAAGGTTCCCCATGTCCTCTCCCCTCAAATGTGAATTGAAGTTATTTATTTGTCCTAATTGTTACTGCTTTAATATTCCCCACAACCCACCTTTTGGAGGAAAGATTCTCCCAGACTCCGGCACTCATTACTGTTTCTTTACGTTCAGATTCATCAGGGATTGTCATTGTGTGCCATGTATGTGAATCCATATGCTGTTCTCTCTCTCTTTGCTCCCTCTCCAGGTTACAGAAGCATACAAAGAATACAATTATAGCAAAGTTGTTCGATTATTGCAAGCATTCTGTTCCAGAAACTTATCAAACTTTTATTTCAGCATCATCAAAGACAGGTACGTTCATTATGTGGCATTCTGCCCTTAGAAGAGGAAATACAAGTTCATCAGTTTGAGATGGAGGCAATAATGCTCCAGGTGAATGTCGTGTGAGCACAGGGAACATTTCAGTGATGTGTTGTGCTTTGCTGCACTAAAGCTCATAGGTAAAGCTTGGTTGCTGTGAGCTGAGTATTTGTCATCAGCAAGCTTCTGGTTGCTGTGCACTGAGAGCACTGAATCACTTTGTTTTAAAGGTGTATGCCTGATCACCTTTCAGACTTTTAAAGTCAGATTCTTGGAGCTGTATTTCTACCTAGGAATGTGTGCATCTGGATCTGGGAAGGTAGAAGAGCATTTAGCACTTACCTGTGCGCCCTAATGTCTTTTACTGATCTGTAAAAACTGTAGAGAATCCGAAGGCTGTGACTAATGCACTTTGACAGGGCTGCAGGCTCACCTCTCTGAAAGTGATTCTGTTTCTACACAACAAAGCAAATTAACTTGCCATGTACAGCATCCTTCCTGTGACAGAATGTGGCTGCACATGCAAATGGATCTGTACCTGCACCGCTGTGCATGCCTAGGAAGGGCAATTAAGAAAAGCTTTCCTTCAAAAGGCAAGCTGGGTCAGACTCCTCTACCTTCACTGAAGCATTCTGAAAGGATGGCTCAGGATCAAGGACAGTAACGTGAACACACAAATACTTCCCAGCTTTTATCTCTGTCTTGCAGGCTCTATTGTGAAGAAGAAAAAGATCCCAAGCGCCGTTCATGTCAGACTGTGCTAGCAGAGGCTTTAGACGTAGTAGTCCGATCCTTTGCACCAATTCTTCCCCACTTGGCAGAGGAGGTTTTCCAGCACCTCCCTTACAAGAAAGGTAAAGCACCTATGATTTCTAAGGGATTCTTTTAGTCCGCTGTTTCATTGCACAGTGAAGAGAATGCACATAGATAAGCTGTTCATTTTTATTCATTTCATAAACACTTGACTAAAGGACACTAAATGAAAGATTCCTTTGCTTTGCTTTCAAGACACAGGGGGTGTGTTTCGTACTGGCTGGATTAATGCAAGCTCAGCATGGAAGAAGCCTGGCATTGAGGAAGCAATAGAAGGTGCATGTGCAATGAGAGACTCATTCCTTGGGTCCATCTCTGGCAAGAATGCTTTGGAATACGAAGTCATCATTGTAATTGAGCCTGGACTGCTGTTTGAATTAATGGAGGTAAAAGACGCAAATAAGAATAGCATTATCTGTGCAAATCCTCATAATTGCTGTATGCTTTCTTCTGCTCAGGCAGGCACATCTAGCACAAATCCCCCAGGGTGTCTAGTTGGGTTGTGGATACCAACTGGAGACTCCATGACCTCCGTGAGCTACCTGTGCCACTGTCTGGCCCCACTCACAATATAAAAGTGGGTTTGTGTTTTCTTGGGATTTCTTCTTCCAGTTTCTGTCTGTTGCCTCTTGTCCTGCCACTGGCCCTCACTGAAAAGTGCCTGGCTCCACCTTGTCTACCATCTCAGTCATCTTTATGGCCCTTTGCTGGACATCTCCCTTTTATCAGGTAGTACAGAACTGGATCTGGCATTGCAGGTGTGTGACAGAGGTGTTGAGGAGTAAGTAAATTACTCTCATTCACTCTGATCAGGAACTTCTACCTTAGCATTTGTTTTCAAGAGTGTACACCTCAGTTTTGATGCTGGATCTAAACAGAATCCTATGTATGCATATATTTAGGCATGTATGTGTACATAAACAAACTTGCTCTCCCTTCATGCCAAGGCCATGACAGCTGCTGCAATCACATACACAGTAATTCTACTTTTGCTTTAACATTATCTGGGAGGAGGATGTTGAACAGAGCCAGCTCACAGGTCTGAAAATGAACTCTTCCATAGGCTCTGCAGGCTGAAGAAACTTCTAGTGTTTCAGAGCTGAATGAAATAATGATGGCTTCCCAGACAACGCTGCTGACTGAGCTACCTAAAGAAACACCTACAGATGCAAACATCATCAGAGGGACCTTCCTGATTAACTTGGAAGGTACGAGAACTACTCCAGACAGGCTGCTGTGTTGTTTTCTACACTATACCATACTTTGTTGTTCATACATAGAGTTGAGTACCCAACGTCTGCCTACACGATCTCAGCAATAATGTTTTCTTTAACAGGGGGTGATATCCGTGAAGAGTCTTCATATAAAGTTATAGCTCTACCAGTCACCAAAGCAAAATGCCCTCGCTGCAGGAGATACACTTCCGATTCCACAAGCACTCCCTGCCCTCGGTGCCTCACAGTCATTTCTGGACGAGGGAGCACGTGAAGCTGCTCCGAAGCTATGAGTACTGCAGTATGCCAAAGTAGTAGCTGAAGAGAAGGTCTGTGTACTAAAGCCTGTAGAATCAGATGCTTTAAGCTCTAGCCCAAGTAGATTTTCCTGTGTTTAGAGGGAAACCTTATGTACATATACATGTGTATATCACTTTTCAGCTTAATAAAAAGGGTGGTTCTAAATAACTGACTGATTTACCTAGTTTTAGCAACCTGTGTTCTTTTGAAGTTCACTTCCATTTACATGGAACTTCATGGTAAAACTATGTAAAACTATTAAATACTATTTAATCTTTACACTGACAGCAGTCAGCAAACCAGTTTTCTCTTTATGGGAGTGTCTATTCCTCTTGTAAAACAGAGGAAGAAAAGATGGTGACCACCATTCCCTAAAAAGAAGGAAAAGACACAATGAAACCTCAGATTTTATTTAATCAATTTACACAAATCCACAGCAAATTAGACACAAAATAGCACTATATACAGAGTATTACTTACAATACATTACAAATTGGTTGGTGTAGTGCGTCAGCTCTGATGCGATACTCAGTTACAGTAAAATCCTTCACACAGCTATACCAGGAGACAGAAGGTAATGCAACTAAGACACATTTTTTGTGTTCCTTGATGACCAAATTTAGCATGCTCCTTTCTGCAGCAGGCTGAAGTGCTGTCAGGCAAGGTATAGTCACCCATACAATCTTGCCACCTGCCATTTGGCCCCTAAAGCTGTTTTAACCTGTTATAGAACAGTATAGGAGTATCTAAAACATAGACCAGGGCTGGCCACTTACTAGAATTCTTACTCTGACCTCCTATCACTCTAGGAAGTCAGACATTTAGTATCAGAGCTTGTTAAGAAGCCTTCATCAGCTACGTTGTGCAGTGGTCAGGAACTGGGGATGCTGAGCAGGTGGAAGAGGCTGTGTACAACAGGCCACCTACAGAACCTTTTTTTTGGGGGGGACAGTTTAACCCTTCATTGACAGCAGCCCACATCAGGAAGATAAGACCAAATTCTGTCTCTAGCAAGGCAGAATACTATGAATGTTTCTTACATCTAATGCAAGAGGAGCAGGTT